AATTTTCAAGATTTTGATACATTTTGTCAAAGTTCAAACTTTAAATGATTATAAAAAAATTTGTGCCTATGCATTTTTAATATTTTTCAACCGCTATAGTAACAATATATGARGAGCCTTTCATTACCTTTWCACGCACTTTGGGACAACAAATACAATTTTGTTAATATTTATAGAAAAAAAATTAAAAAACATGAAATTTTAAATTGCCGTAAACAGTTCAAAACAAGTCAAAATATTTTGAAAATATTTTGGTGTATAAAAAACGCTAATATAAACATTCAGTCAAAATTGCATGTATCTTTGGTCATCTGTTTTAGAATTACACCAAAAAATAAAAATAATTTTTCTTTTGTTTTTCACGGCACTTTTGAAAACTACTGGGAAAACTAYCAACTAGATTCACTACTTTCCTATTAGAAAAGATAATGTTGAAAAAAATCTAAGCATTTTTACTGTCCTAAAAGGTGGTGACAGACACAAAAAAAATTAAAAATACCCACATCATTGTAAAAACAATACATTCATCGCTCCGCTCAGAATCTAAAATAGTTATTAGGTATTATATAGACYGTTATAGCATCCACATGACGTATAAAAAATATATTATATATTTAAAAGGCCGTTAGTATATTGAGGGCCTCTAAAATTATGATTTTCCCGGGCTGTGTTTTTCTCCCAGTCCGCCACTTATATACTATATTACTTATGTGTTATGTCTATAATAAAAACGTATAGCCGTTTAGCCACTTACAGTTTTACTCTATTACCCCTGCACCCCTGTCATTATAGTTCTTCTGYATGTCTGTAATCTAAATGATGAATTATTATACTATGTTTATGAATATTAATATATAGAATAATTAGATTATTATTGCAGAAAATTAAAATAATTAGTACCCTTGGACATCAAATAGCGATGGGATTGGCAAGGAGAAGTAATATTCCCCCTTGAATGATTCCCAATAAGGCTTTAAAAAATGTACTTTAATAAAAATGTCTTATCTATCTAATAAGATTTCCATTCAAGACTACATCTAACTGAATAATTTTACCGTAAGAACACTCATTTGTACAAAGTTACACGGGAAAACTGTAGGTATTTACTGTATCTTGTTCCACRAAGAGTCGGATAGGTTGTTCTTCACCTTTATTAAAATTTCAGTATTTCACCTCTATWTAATTTAATTWAATCTTTACCAATATGGGTAACCTAAATTTAATAATATTATAAGTATTATATAAATTGTTTCCTTTGCAGGGTGATATAATTCTTGAAGTTCCATATTTGATAGAATTTGTTACTAAATTTATTAACATCTCAGGCAACTATAAGTTGCTAAATATCAACAAACTAGGTGTCAATCAAACGTAAGTATACTGGAATTCTAAATAAAAACCACAAATGTYAAACTTTTTTTAACAAACCTAATATCCTTACTTGCTTATATTTATCGTTATATTTTGTGAAAACCTTATATAGCCTTTAGTAGCTCAGTATAATCACAAACATTAAATTTTTATGGTATTATTATTGCAGGTTATTGCACGATATAAAAGGTTGTAAAAGTGGTGCAATAGAGTTAAAGGAAGACAATTCCACGCCCAGTATTACTAGAAATAAATACAAGAATTTGATTGTTCGGGGATAAAATACTAAATACAATTAATATATTTTACATCCAATGCTTTATCATCTACATCAATATCTGTTTTAGTATTATATTTAGATTAAATATTGATGTAACTTCAATGAACATCATAGTTATCATACAGTAATAATATTTTACATTTAATCCTGTACATAATATGGTACATGTTTTTTTTTTGTATAATAATTTTAATTTTAATTTATACTATATTATCTTATATAGTAGGGTTAGAAGTATTTGTATTATTTTTACTATACTATTATGAAAATATATCGACCGTACATCAAATCTTAAGGGGGTGGACATTTAAACATTCAGACAATGTTGTTTAATACCAATAATATCTTAATATGAAAATAATAATAATGATTAGGTTAAACTAGTTATAATAATAATACACAATAACACAACAATACATTAGTACATTACATTTTTGTAAATTCTAACACAATAATAATTTAATCAACGTGTACCTATATTTATATAATTAGAAGAATATAGAATTACATATAAAATACATGTGATATTGAAATGTTGGTACCTAGTTGGTATGTTTTATAGTCTTGATTGGTAGGCGTTTTGAATTTTGATACGCGATTGTTGCTTCAATAAGGTGCTGAATAGTGAATAGAGAAAACATTTCAATGAAAACGTTAATAAATAAATTTTGCTAATTTATTTTAAATTACATTCATATTTTTAATAGTTAATTGATCTTCAGTACCTAAAATTTAATTCAGTTCTTAGACTATTGCAGGTATTAGTAATTTTACATTAATTATACTTTGGTTGATTAGTTAGGAACAACTTATTTATTATTAGTCTCGTAT